CGACTGCCATGCGCATAATCAGGACTGGCAGGACCCTACACGCTGGGGAATGCGTCAATGGTTGCAGCGTAAGACTACGCCTCTGGCATCTGAAGCCCTGCCCTTTGCGCCTCACTTCCACTTCTGTTTAATGACACACCTCGAGGTACTCATCGATGCTGCCATCTCCAATATCCCAGACGTTTTGCGTAAGTTGAGGACGGAGGAGGACGAGCAGCGCCAGTTGAGCCAAACACACGAGCAGGACCTTGATCTGGAACGCTTCCTCATGATCATTGCCTACGCCTACGATGGCCGACCGGACGCAGCCATGACTTTCTGGGAAGATACCGAAAGCAACCTCGCCGGCTTCCTGAATTGGGCGTCCAGGAGAGCTTCCACCCCTCTGGTCAGCGCGTTCTGCGAGATGCTCCAAGCTCTTGCTGCTAATGAAGAATGCGCGACAGCCGCCCACAACTTCTTGCTTGACGAAACCACTCACTCGGGGGGCAAGTTGAAACGCTCAGCCTCCTTGACTTGGAACCAAATCTTCAAGGAACTCAAGTTCTTCATGGAGAAACTCCAGACCAAGCCACTTCCCGCCCCGTCTCAGCTTGTCCGTCACCATGCGAAGCCCAGCAGCGATCAGGCCGAGACTGAACCCGAATCCGCCATGATGCTGGAGTGCTACCTGCGCCTCATTGCCAAACTCGGCTATGAAAGCCCAGTCGCTAGAAATCTTCTACTTCTTGACACAAGCGTGGAGCTACCCGAAACTCTGATCAGGCTTGCCAGTGCCCAGATACCCGGCCGTCTCCGGGCTTGTGTTTTCAATGCCTTCCGCGCCCTAATGCATCGCAAGACCCATCAGGAGTCGGAAATCATGTGGGACTTTATCGACCTTTGGCTAGTAGGAGGTTGGGGCCCCAAGGCGGACACACAACGAACCGTGGCAATGTTGCAGCCCAGTCCTCAGGCGGTGATGGAGGCTATTTTGGACGACATCAGTGATGGATTTGAGCAGCCCGTTGCCTTTATCCAGCTGCTTATTTCGCTCATCCAGCCCTCGATTGATGATGGAGAGCTTTGCGACAAACTGCCTTTCAAGGAAACGCTGGGCACCAGTAACCGACTGTCTGGCGTTGATGTCTATGTTGACTATGTCTTTGGTCTCGTGTTGACCAAGAAGGCTATGGATATCACCGATCCTATGCAGTTGAGGATCCTTCAGCTCAGCTGCCTGGAGTTTGCGCTTGCTTCTCTAGCATCGTTCAACGAGGACCTCATTGTCTTGGGTAACGAGAGCAACGTCAATGTTGATGTTGCCGTGTCTACTTCAAGCCTGGAAGCCTACGTGTGCCTGCACCCATTTGCCCGGGTTATGGAGTGGTTGTTCAATGAAAAGGTTGTGAACATTCTTGTCGACATTATCAACAGGGATACGGATGTGCTTGGACAGTCGTCCCACGATTCTCCCGTTGTTTTGGGTGTCTTGCGAGCTGTCCAGGTCATGATCAAGGTCCTTGAGCTACAAGACACTTATCTCGATCTCGTCCGCCCCCTTATCAAGAAGCAGTCTGGACAGCGAAGCCGCTCTGTCGCAAGCGGGGCTTATTCCGCTTTTGAAGATGGCATCATGAATCACCTGTCTCTCGTGGAGGATCTCGGCCGGTTCACCAACCTTGGAAACCCCGACCTCACCTGGGCTTCCCTTAAGCTCTTGGAGAAGATTTCGACATCCCCCGAGATCATCTCGGCCTGGGAACCCGATGGTCGTCATGCGCATCGCAACAAGGCCATTGTCCAGCTCGAGAGGGGTGGTGCAGGTGTGTCAATTGCCGCGTCTTTGGCCAACACCATCGCCCAGACGCTCGATCCTGTTCTGGAGGCCGAATCGCCGGATTACCAAACCAAGGTGTTCATCCTCGATTTCCTATACAAATGTCTCAAAGCCAACCCGGACAAACCCACCATCGCTCATCTACTCCTTGGCTTCCGCTGCGAGATCAACGGGCTTGCCATTGAACCCAATGGTGCCTTTGATATTCAGCGGTCACTCTTCCATAGCCTGTTGAACGCGTTCATTGGCTTGTCAGTATACCAAGAGGAGTTGGGTATGCGAGGCTGCCTAATAACTCTTAAGCGGAAGATTTTGCGCATCTTCCAGATCCTCTGGAGCTCACCCCTTTCTTCAAAGTTGGTCATGGAAGAGTTGCGAGCTACTAACTTCCTCTTCCACACCCTGCTTCAAGAGCCACAAGTCCAACCACACCTCAGGTGGGACGGCGTAGAAGCGGCTTCTCCCGAGTTCCTGGTCACGGACGCATCGCATTCTTATATCGAGTTCCTTGCGACGCGTGCCATGGCCTTTGAATACATTGCCAAGGAGCTTTGCAGTGTTTCCCAAAAGCGGATACCCACCGTCAAGCGCCAAATATTTGATGCCCTGCTGAATGGACAGATCCGGGCCGACAACGAGGAGCCCATCAACATTGCTAATATCTTTGACTTTTTCGACTTCCTCAACGTCGACTTTGTGGACATTCCCGCCCCGGAATTCGATATTTACAGGGACATCGACCTCACCCCATGCATCGAGGAGGACGCAATGACCGGCTCCCAATTTAATGTTCACAAAGTCCACGAGTTGGCCTTGCTCAAGCGCGCTGAGAGGCTCAACCGGGACAACCCAGAAAAGAAGGATAGCCAGGCCCTAATCACACAAGATGAGCTGGCAGCCTGGGACCGTGAGCAGAGTCTGTTGCTCGAATATGTCATCTACCGGAACCGCCAGAAGCAGTTCAGCGCCCACCGCCTCAAGGTGCTCCGGGCGTGGACCAACATCCTGCTGGTCATGTTCGAGGCCAATGACTTCAAGGGCACGCCCAAGCTAGCCTTCCTCCTGCAAGCGCTGCAGGCCATTTTGCCCAGCCTGGAGGCCTTCAGCACACTCAGCCCCGCCGAGGCTTTTGAGCTTGCTCGCGTTGCCAAGGTGCTACTCTTCAAGCTCGACCTCTCGGACAATACCGATGGCGCCACCGACAAAGACATTGGCAACCTCATCAGTGACAAGCTCTTTCAGCTTTTCCAAGTCTGCCTCACCTCCATCGCCAGCTGGGTCGGCAGTGCCGATTTGCGCGCTCTTTACTACTCCATCTGCTACCGGTACCTCACGTCGGTAGTCGACAAGACTACCGACCACACCGGCACCACCACCAGCAACGCCCTGGCCACGGCCCGCTCCCGCGCCATCAGGGCCATCCAAGCCTATGGCGACCGTCTCCTTAACGTCATCTGCGATGACGCCTACGGCTCCGACTCGACGTGCCAAACCGCCGCCATGATCCTCTTGGGAGCCCTCGTCCATCTCGATCACACCACGACGGCTTCCGGTCTCCAGCACACCAACGATCTCGACGGCTCCTTTGTAGTTACCACCCTGAATCGTCTCAACTTTATCGGCGTTCTCGTCGATTCCCTCAAGACCATTCTAAAAGATTGGTCCGCTGTCACCACTTCCCCCACTTCCTCCGTCGAACAGCAACAACAACAGCCACCATCATCCCAACAACTCACACTCACCACTCAATCATCCGCCACAGACAGCCAATATATCCTGTCCAAACTCTCTCTTCTCCTTGCCCTCTGTCGCTCCAAGCTCGGGTCCAAATTCGTTCTCCAGTCGAACCTTTTCCGCGCCCTAGAAGTGTCGGGTGCTTTCTCCACCGACCCGGAACTTTTCGTTCGTCAACAACAACCAAATTTCTCGACAGGCTCCACGACCTATGTCCGCGCTTTGGAAAGGCACTATACGCTCCTCGTGTTTCTAGCCAGAATCGTCTCAGCGGCGGTAATGGCCGGCAAGAAGCGCGGGAGTCACAATGCGCTGCAGGGACGCAAGTTCTTGCAGGGAGCTAGGGGGTTAGTGGTTCAGGTGTTGAAGATGAGTGTGGGGATTGGTGGTGCTGGGTCGGGGAACCTTGGCGTCTCGATGAGGGCGGTAAATGGAAGTGCGTACAGTGGTGCGGATAGGGATAGCCAGGCACAGTTGGAGTTGGAAGAACGCGTGGATGAGCTGGCGGAGGCGTTTATGCTTTTGATTAACGCTACCGGGTTTTTGGAGGTGAGTCTTTTTCCCTAATCCTGGCCTAATATTACTGCATGGGGAGGTGACGAGAAGAAACAATTGCTAACGGATGATCAACGAACAGTTCGAGGAAGAGCAAATGGCTGCTGAAAAGCCGAAGGGTGATCTGCTCTTTCACTAGAGGGTCATCAATCAATGGGTAAAGAGCTGTGGGTTCGCATGAAAGGCTGGTAGATGAGATGGAGAGAAGTGTGCTGAGAGAAGAGTGGTGTGAGAGAATGAAGATGTCAAACAAGAGGCAGCAGAAGAAGCAGAAGAAGAAAAGATATGGGGTGTCATAGCATCGAAGTAAGGAAGGAAGGGATGGGAGTTTTTGTGTACTGGTCTTCAGTTAGTGTCTTTTTTAGGTCTACATCATTTGGCAGCAAGAAACTGTTTTTCGGTTGTTGGTCTGACAAGCATTTTGGCATTGAGTTTGAATTGGATTTGAAGTTGGTGCTTTTGACTCGTTCTCAGAAGGGAAGGGGACGGAACTGGTTGAAGATCGAACTGGTGTTAAAGTTAGATTGCTGTTAGCGTTGAGCCCCCGTTTAGCCACTGACATAGCGATGATGCTTATCGCGAAATCACGCGCCGTTAACAGGTAGCCGCGTCCCACTTCTAGTGAGTGTATAGGTAAGTGCCGTACGGTTATCGCCGTTGCCGCTGACACGGTGCCGGAGCTCCTCCCCCACCTGGAATTGTTCACTCCGTCATGCCCCGGCCGTCTTGACTTGAACTTCCACTTCCTCCCACGCAATTCAAAGAAACTTGTTGACAACAGTCCATAATCGCTTCGCAGTCCACGCAGCCTGTAAATATTGACAGCACAACTAGTATATAAGCCTGCCGCGCAGGCGAGAGGAGACGTTTGTTGAAAACGACTTGTCCATCGATGCCTTCGAACAGCACTGCCAATCCGTCCGAGTTGTCTCGTGACAACAACAACAACAACAACAACAACAACAACAACAACAACAACAACAACAACAACAACAACAACAACAACAACAACAACAACAACAACAACAACAACAACAACAACAACAATAACATCACCACGAGCCATCTTCATCAGCATACGCCATCATCACCGCCGCAAGCCACCCCGACCAAGCGCCGCTTCGACGACTTGAACAACCTGAAGGATAAAGGCGCCCAGCAGTCGCACCTCCACGCCGCCGCATCATCCAGCACCAACACTGCTGCTCCCAACAAGCGCTCCCGCTCCGAGTTATTCGCTGCCTCTTCCGCCGCCCACCCGACAACAGCCACAACACCTCCTACCATGTCCGCCAAACTCAAGGGAAAACGCCCCGCTTCCGGACCGCCCGAGGTAATCGACCTCACCCAAGGAAGTAACAACTCCGCAGGGAGTTCGCCTGTTGCCACTTCTTCTCATTCGCACATACGAGGGCCACCACTATCTTCCTCGCACAGCACGGGCCGTACGTCAACAGCGCCGCTTAATCCCAAGGGCGGCGGCATGGCCACGGGCAAAACACCAGGAGGCACCAACTACCTCCAAACACACATTGGCGCCCGCCGCCTCGTCGTCAAGAACCTCCGCCCTGTCGCCACCCAGACTCAGACCGAAGAAGCGCACTATGCACGCATTCGCGGCGATCTGGATACGGCGCTTAGAGCTATCTTTAGCGGGCACGGTGCCGGTGCCGCTCCTGCTCTTGGGGGCTACAGTCCTAGTCCCGGCGGCCCAGGTGGTCAGAGCCGAAGCGGAGCGGCGGGCAATAACACCACTACGGGCGGCCAACCTATGGAGAAACTATACCGCGGGGTGGAAGATATCTGCCGACGGGGCAAGAAGGAGAGTGGGGAATTGTACGAGTGGTTGAAGGATCGGTGCAAGGGGTGGTTGAACAGTGACGAGGTGCTCAAGACGTTATTGGCGGCTGCTCCGTCTATAGCTTCCGATATGGGAGGGGAAGAGGATGTGATCCTGCTCAGGGCGGTGCTGGCCGCTTGGAAGAGGTGGATTACGCAGCTTTTGGTGATCAGATGGATCTTCAGCTACTTGGACAGGAGTTATCTACTTCCCGGTGGTAGCGGGACTACTGCGGAAGGAAAGGGCAAGAGTGCTAGTGGCAAAAGGGAGGGGCCAACGAGTGTCAATGATATGGGTATCAGTGCGTTCCGCAGTGCCATGTATAGCTCCAGGAGCAGGAACGGCGCCAACATGCTGACCATCGGCGCACGGGTGGTCAATGCTGTGTGTGTGTTGGTTATGTTTGATCGGCTGGATGACAGCAGATTCGATTCGCAGCTGTTGAGGGAATCGGTGGCCATGTTGAGGCTCTGGGGCGTGTACGGCAAGGAGCTAGAGCCCAAGTTCATCCATGAGTCGAGAGAATACGTGAGGAGGTTTGCGGAAGAGCGTAGCGAGTCGTGCGGGCTCAAGGACTACATTGTTGCTTGCGAGCGGCTGCTCAACAAGGAAAGCGAGCGGTGCGATTTGTACAACTTTGACAGCACCACTAAGCGCCAGCTCAAGGACGACGCGCACGACATTCTCATCTTCAACTATGCGGAGAAGCTGCTGGATAGCGGCAGCGTCGCAAAGTTGCTGGACGCAAACGATCTCGATTCTATCAAGGCCCTGTACGAGCTGCTAAAGTTGTCAGGTATCCAGAAGAGGCTCAAGGGACCGTGGGAGCAGTACATCAGGAAGGCGGGTGCGGCCATTGTCAGCGATACGGCTAGGGGCGACGAAATGATTATTCGCATCTTGCAGCTGCGTCGCGCGCTAGACGTTATGATTCGCGATGCGTTCGGCAGAGACGAAGATTTCACGTACGGGTTACGCGACGCTTTCGGGTTCTTCATCAACGACAAGTCGGTGTCATCGTCGTGGAATACGGGCACCTCGAAGGTGGGCGAGATGATCGCCAAGCACATTGACATGTTGCTACGCGGTGGTCTCAAGACGTTACCCAAGGCACTGTTGTCCGATGTCAAGGACAGGCAGGATGCCGAAAGGAGCGGCATTGCTAGCACGGCAGATGAAGATGCTGAGCTGGATAGACAACTGGACCACAGCCTGGAGCTTTTCCGGTTCATCCAGGGCAAGGACATCTTCGAGGCGTTCTACAAGAAGGACCTCGCGCGCAGACTCCTCATGGGTCGCAGTGCTAGCCGTGACGCGGAGAGGAACATGCTGGCCAAGCTGAAGAACGAGTGCGGTTCAAGTTTCACCCACAATCTGGAGATCATGTTCAAGGATCAGGAACTGGCCAAGGACGAAATCGCCTCCTACAAGACCTGGCTAGCCGGTAGGGGCGAGGACTCGCCCGTAGCCAATTCGGAGCTCGACCTGAGCGTGAATGTCCTTTCAGCTGCCGCTTGGCCTACCTACCCCGATGTTCGCGTCCTGTTGCCGCAAAATGTGCTGGACCACATCACCACGTTCGACACGTACTACAAATCCAAGCATACCGGCCGCCGTCTAACATGGAAGCACAACCTCGCGCACTGCGTCGTCAAGGCACGCTTCGACCGCGGACCAAAGGAACTACTTGTCTCCGCCTTCCAAGCCATTGTCCTCGTCCTCTTCAATGAAGCCGAAGAAAAGTCTCCGGACGGGATCCTCTCCTACGAGCAACTCGCCTCAGCAACGGGGATGCCCGACCCCGAGCTTCAACGAACTCTGCAATCCCTAGCCTGCGGCAAGACGCGCGTCCTCAACAAACACCCCAAGGGTCGCGACGTCAACAAGACCGACACCTTTTCTATCAACAAGTCCTTCACCGATCCCAAGTTCCGAGTCAAGATCAACCAGATCCAACTCAAGGAGACCAAGGAAGAGAACAAGGAGACGCACGAAAGGGTCGCGCAGGACAGACAGTTTGAGACGCAGGCGGCGATTGTGCGCATCATGAAGAGCCGGAAGAAGATGGCGCATGCGCAACTGGTGGCCGAAGTGATTAACCAGACGAAACAGAGGGGGGCGGTAGATGCGGCGGATATCAAGGCGAATATAGAGAAGTACGTTTTTTTTTGTTCTCCTTAGAGTACGGACAATTTTGGGAGGGATAATTGCTAACCTTTTTGATGAAAACCAGACTTATCGAAAAGGATTATATCGAGAGAGAGGGTGGGAATTATGTCTATCTTGCGTAGATATTGGGCGTGTGGGCAGGTAGGAAAGAAAGGGAAAGAGAGCGTCACTGAGATTGAGGCATTTTTTTTGGGAAGGTAAACTTGGTTTTTGTAGGTTTGTTGTATTGTGATTCTAACGAATGGCGGCTTCTTGGTATCTGGGCTGGTTTTGGAACGGGATGCATACATGAACGAATAGGGGCTTTTTACGATGAAATGGAAATGGATTCAATAATCATCCAGGTACAGCTCTAGGCTGCAAGTTGGTACTAACTGTGCTCACTCAAGCATGTGATTAACAGCCAGCGCACCACCGACAACGTTACCCATCGTTCAGCACCATCTATACATTTCACTTCCACCCAGCAACTAAGCCAGCCCAGGGAGCATGGAAGGGCAAATGTGGCAAGCTCACGGGTGGCCGGTCAGTTACACAAAAGAAAAGAGGGGATCCCATATCTTCAAGTACCTGGCTGATGTCGAACTGAACCACTCTCACCTATTCTTAACCCCTTTAGCCCGTTCAATGCCCGGCCGGTCTTAGACACGCATATGTACATCTGGCGCTGGCGGCGTTCTGTTGTATACAAAACGGGTTCCAGGCCCAGACTCGTACCTCCGGTTGAATGCGGGCGCTGACATGATTGATGCGTGATCAAGTCTAGGGACATGTGTAGACGAGTGGTTGTTCGGGAAAAGGGTCGACTAAACCATGGGTTTCCAAATCTCGAGAAAAGTAGGGGATTCCATCTCATCTCATCTCATCGGGATCGATAGAGTACAGGCTTGACACTTTATTATGTAGTAAGAGCGTGAAAGATGACCAAATCGCACGGCTGTGTTAATGAAAATTTGGTAGCCTCTTGGAGACAGCCGATGACGAGGAAAGGGTATGGTGTGCTCGTTCCCGAAGCTGGAAATAACAGCCATCTACCTTGCCGTCTAGTTGTCTACCAGATGTCCCTCGCGGTAGGGAGATATCTCCAACTAATTCTCAAACATCATATTAAAAGCGTGACGAATACGCATAAAGCCCCATGATCATCCATTCGAGGGGAAAAAAAAAAAAAAAAAACTTGGGACATCACATCCACTTCATGACCACCTGCGCAACCTGTCCGTCCGTCATTCAGTTAAGTGAAGAGAACAGGCACGCAAAAACCATGGTAGAGCTTAGACGGGAAGGGGCAGGACATGATCTAGGGCAAGTAATTTTGATGTTGATACGTAGTTTCCCTTATACCAGTGCCCTCTCCAATGCCGAACGAACGAACGTGGCCCAGTGGCACACACCCGAAGGCGTGATGATGGTGTCTTCCGGGGGTACGTAGGGTACCGCAAAACATTGTTGGGGTTACGGGGGTACGGGGTACCTTGACGAGCTATGTACGGGCGGGAGACAATGGCGAAATTGCGAGATTGGGAATCAATCTCTCGCGCCACGGTCCACTACACTTGAGGGGATCAAAAGGATCATTCCGCTTTGTGCTGATCCCCGGAACCGGCCGGATCTACAATGGAGGCTGAGGGTGGTCCAGACTTTTTCCGTCTTTTGTTTCTCTGTTGTGCGAAGGATCGTTTTCAGACGACTGTCAAAGTCGGAATGTTAAGAAGGGAAGAACAAGGAAGCCGTGGCTTGTCAAAAAAAAAAATCAGACAGATGTCCTGTCGCACCAATAATGTCGTGCAAGTAGGACTCGAACTTGAGAACACCCGAACGTGGCAAGGTGTGAGGTACACAGCAGACGGAGCTAGAAGGACTGATGAGAAGCTTGGGTGAGAATCTTTCCCGTCCGATGGCAGATTGGATTCATTCGCTGTGGGCATCCGCCGCGGTGCACTTGGGAAAAGTCCGAGGCCAACAAAGTAAGTGTGTTGATGATTGATTGCTTCGACGACAGTGATGGGAGACGGATTCGCTTACAAAATCGATTTGTTTACACGCACGGACGCACTCGCTTGGCAGCAGGTGCTGATGAAAAGCCAAATCTCGCTTATGTGCCACCTCGTACGCTTTGGGGTTTGCGGTCGCCAGTGAGGTGGTAGCCTTTTCTTCCATCTTTTGCCCTCAACCACCGATCTGGAAGTCAACTGAACATCGATGGCTTGTACCTGCGTCTGATCTAAATCGGGTTCATCATCCAGTTGATGCGATGCTGAACCCTACCAGGTACCACTTCCACGCACGCACGTTGAATGGGCCGTCGTCCGTCTTTGGCTTTCATCGCTTCATCCAATGCGATGACAACTGAAGTTGTGGGACTTGTTCCCAACCTTTTCTTTCGTACGTTCCCCCCGTCGCTTGCGCTCATCTGGAGGCTGAAAGAGAGCCACTCAAACGCCACCAAACCACCACAATCACCACCATCAAGAATCGTCATGAACCGTTTACGACCTCTTTCCTCTCTTTAGCAAATTCGATTGGTCCACCGAGTTCACCCAATGAGAGCTAGGTATGGAAGGCTGATGGAAGCAATAAATTGCACAAAGTCGGCTTCATGCACCGAGCCAATGCGGAGCCAGCAGCAACAGCGACAGAGGTGCGCAAGACAGGTTCCCTGCATTATATACGCTGTATGTATACACGTACAGCCTATACATAATGTAGTGTACGTACCTTTGTTATAAAATGCGCCATTCAATAATTGATCACCACGCTTCTCGCCTACCCACTTGCTTGCATCGGTGTAACCAAGCCCAGCGGTCCAAGCTCTCGTCCCGTTCGTTGGTGATGGCCTCTTTCGGGACCCCTGTTGACCATCCTCGTCGTCCACACCCCTGCTCCACTCCGCATGCATCTCCAAGGTACTGTACGAGAGAGAGATCCCACTCTGCTTGTCTCAACGTCGAGGTCCGTTCTCGAGAATAACACCCTCGAGGCCATCACCGGGCTTAGCATCCACCATGGTCGGCTCATTCAACGTCTTGGAAGGAACTAGTGAAGAGAGAAGGTTGTCGAAGCTCGAGGACGGCACAGAGGGACACAACAGGACAGCCACAACGCCTCAAAAAACAAAAAAAACACCACACCACCATCAACAAAGAAGCATTGGGGCTGGCCTCTCTGCCACTTTACCCCTGACCCAGATCTTTACAGTAGCAGCTTTTACGCACAGCACTAGTGTAGTGCCACCCCCAATGGGAACATTAGCACTTGTCCGACTGCCTTTTTTGTTTAATTTCCTCTTCCAACCCTCTCAGCCCGCTTTGTTTTCTTTCGAGCCATTTCTCTTCTTCCTCTATAATATCTCTCAACGTGGTGGACACCAACAGACAGGACAGGGTACATGGCTCTGCCCTGCTCTCAACACCATTATTCATCTCCGCAGCCGAGCCAACCATCCATCCGGGCGAACCAAGTGTCCGCACTCCGCTCGCCCCCAGCTTCCATTCTGGCCAGAACACCCGCAGACCTTACGCCTTTTTTTCTGCACTGCTTCTGCAACCACCGTCGGCATTGCACCGGTTCTTCGTCCCCATTGGTGTCCCATTGTTCTGTTCCTCGTCTTATATTTACCCGCCTACCCATATTGGACCATTTCCCTGATCCCGCCCGCCCTTGGGCCTTTCTTCTAAGTAGAGCCCACGGGACGCTGCCTTTGGACTGGACCAGACAGATGCCAACATTGGATTGTTAGCTCCTCCTCCTCACCCCCATCCCGCCTTGTTGGGCCGGCGCCATTTATCACCCATCACTCCCCGGTCTCCCTACAAGGAACTGGACCGCTGCAGTGATATAAAGACGGGAAAGACATCCCCACTTGCGCTTCCCTTGCTCGCTCGCTGCTCTCATCGCTTAACCCCCCCGTCCTGGCCATCAACATACAAAGGGAGATCGACTAAACCATACCGAGACATACGCGCCCTAACACCGATCTGTCTGTCTAACCCGGCCGATCAGGAAATTTTCAGTCCTTCGTTTTTACATACCCTACAACTCGACATCTGTGTTCCACAGAGTAATGTACCACCAACTGCTACGACACTCTGTTACAGCCGTGACATGATCATGTACTCGTTTACCTCCCGTTCTTCACAAAAGACCCAATGGGTTGTCGTCACCCTAGTCGTCCTGCTTTGCCTTGTCAGCCAGGTAACAGCGCGGGCGCTGGCTATCGAAATCAAGGATGACTTGAGCGACTCCATCGACTTTAATGCGCCGTTGGATATCGACACCTCAGAACCACCAACCATCGATGAAGGAGAATGGATCTTGCTATCACCGGAGGAGGCGGAGTTGAAGCATGGAGGGTTGAGGAAGCGTGAGGAAAAGGAAATGACCTCCGTTGCATCCGGCTCCGTGACAACCACCTTCCAAATCGCCGTCTCTACCGTCACCGAGAAACCCACGGGTGCTTCCACTTTCACCGCCGCCCGGGCCGAAGAGACCGCCGCCGTATCGAGCTCCCTACCCAAGTTCTTCGACGGCAGTTTATCCGCCAACTTTGGCCCCAACAGCAACTGCCCGGCTTTTCTCAACTCTTTTCTCAATAACCAGACTTTCAACCAGTGCTACCCCATCTCGTTATTGATGCAGGTATGTACCACGTTCCCTGCTTTTGTTGTTGTTGTCCTTCTCTTCTCCTCTAATTCATATTATACAATAACTAACATCCCCTTCCCCTTCGCGCAGGGCTCCCAATCCTTCTTCCAAGCCCAACGCTCCCTCGTCTCGCTCACCCGCGTCCTCGACGCCTCGTGCTCTCCCAACGCCAACTTCTGCACCTCCTACCTCTCCTCGCTCGCCTCCGACCTGATCTCGGACGCCAACTGCGGCGCCGAGTTCCGCGCCGGCCACACCGTCGTCCGCGACGCGTACGTCGCCATGATCGCCTACGCCCCCGTTCGCTCGGCTACCTGTCTGAAAGACACCTCCTCCTCTTCTTCTTCAGAAGTAGTCGAAGGATACTGCTACGCAAACGCCGTCATGAACTTCACCAACCCTAGCTCCGTCTATGTCTATCACCTGGCGCTGAATGTCAGTTTGCCCGGGTCGACGGTGCCGACCTGTGATGGGTGTCTGAGGGAGACGATGCAGGTCTATCATGCGGCTGCCGCCGACCGCAAGCAGCCCGTGGCGGGAGTTTATGTGCAGGCAGCCAAGATGGTGAATGTGGTTTGTGGCGTGGGGTTTGCTAATGAGACATTGCCCGAGGAGATTGTGTCTTCGTCAACGAGCGGTGGTGCAGTCACATTGGGGTCAAGGAAGCTGGGGGTGGTAGTGCCGGTTTTGACGACGGTGGCGGCGGGGTTGGTGTGGTTGATATGATATGAGAATGAAATGATGGAGCGAGTGTGCGCCGCTCTAATCGTTTCGAAGAGGGCAGGCAGGTAATGCTGGTCGAGACGGAACCAAACACACAACACTTAATGGCTTTTTGTCTAATGATAATCAACGGTATATACAGGTACATGAGGGGGGAAGGGCATGATAATCTGGATCTGGACCGGATGGGATTAGGAGGCTACACAACGGCGCTACAGCAGCAGCAGCGTCGAAGCCAGCAAAGGAGTTGGAAAGATAAGATTGACGGAAAAACGACCCGGTTTTTGGTCGCGGTTTTTGACTTTTCTCTGGTAATTTGGTTCTGGTTCTTGGATATACTTTTTTAACGACCTTAGGAGACGGCGCTTGATAGATACCCTTTTTTTCTTTTTCTTGCATGGATATATTCCAATTTTAGCAACCTCTTGGATGATCACCATTTACCTTCATTGTAAAACATATAGCCAATTACAGATTAGTCGAACAACCTGCCAGTCAGAACGCTCTTGATTCACGGTCTGCACTTTTCACGTGCCATCACTTGGTCGTATTGCCTCGTCGGATATGCATAAGAGCCGAGCACGTTTGAAACTGTGTTTGCGTGAATAAGTAGACGAAGATCCACCGAGATCTTGGCAGAGCTCACGCTTATAAGCACGAACGAGCGAGCGGAAAGACTTCACCACTATGATCAGACTGTCCCCCAAAAATTCCGTATCCATCCAATAACATTCACGTCAAATATGTTCTACTCATGAGAGCATATTTTCTAGATTCCATGTATCAAACAGCGGTATATTCCCTCGTTCAACCCACATCACATCGCCAATCGCCGCGAGTACAACGAAATGGCAAGCGCATGTCTCCCTCTCTCTACTTTATATCCCCCCAGTTCGCCAAACGGAGTCCAAGTTTCCCACTATGTCTTTCATCTCTTTCCTATCTTGCCATGTGCCTTTTCGCACCACTTTGCACTCGCCCGTCTGTCCAGTTCCAGTCCGGCTGCCTGTTTACCAGTTTGCTTGCTTGCTGGCTCGCTTGCCCCTAATGAAGAGCAAAACAATAACAATACCATGAGAAACCCAAACCGCAAGTGATGAAAACAACAATGCCATGCGATAAAATTTCCACAAGGAACTACTACTCTGTGTGTATATATATAGGCAAGATCAAACGCCAACGAACGCCTTTGTTTCTCATCTCACTCCGGGTACTTCCCAAATTTGAAAAAAAAAAAAAAAAAAAAAAAAAAAAAAAAAAAAAAAAAAAAAAGACGCCGTTGCCAATTCATGCTTTTTCCATTTCTCCGATTCCCATTTCGTTTTTGAGACCTAACGCCTTTGAGAGATTAAGAGAAAGAGAGCAAAAAAAGAAAAGAAAAGAAAAAGGGAGAGGGAAAAGAGGTGGTGAGACAAAGAGGGAGCTCTGTATGAGTTTGAAACAAGCAACCAAGTAGGCATCTGCCACCCAGGTCCACTGTAGCCACACGTCTGCATTGGCAGATATCTTCACCGTGCAGTCCACGTGTATCATGGTTCCTGTAGATATACTTTTTTCAACACGACCTCCTCCAGGGATCAGCTGCCAGAAGCTGCCCGGCCGTTTGGGATGTAGCGAGGATGGATGCATCTGCTATCACTTGTGTGTGTGTGTGTCAATCCACCACCACCACCACCACCACCGCCACCACCGCGTCCGTTGTCAAAATGCAGTATTGCGTTCTCTACCAATAGAAAATTCCTCCAAGGCAATACAAGGGTGCAGGTGCGTGTGTGTCCATGACTGAAAAGTCAGCCAGCAATACTGGTGCCCCTCGTCCACCAATTATAGTAGCCTACCGCCTATATGTTGATGACCGTCGAATTGTTCCTAGCACCGGCACATCCATCACCCAATCCGTCACCGATCTAGACCTGAATATAATAATAAACTTGTTGCTGATGAAAGTGGAACATCGTAGGAAAGCAATAACCAGAGTCCATGCCTGTCTGTCTGTTCGTCCGTCTTTCCCCGGACATTAGACGTGCTGAGAATGATGACTCAGAAAACCATCAACCCTTTGGACCGTGTACCAACCGATTTTGGATATATGACCAACCGACCAACCGACCCAACATGAACCGGATAAACGAGTACCCACCAAACCAACCACTTTTCTAATGCCAACCAGCCAACAATGATTCCAGGGCGGTTAGGCGGTAACCGTTTCATGCAACGAACCGATAAGGAAAAGGCCATTCAAGCATTTTCCTTGAACTGTGCCTCTCTGTTCATGATTTGCTTTCAACAGCCCTTGAACTCTTTTCCACGCACCCAGAAGAATAAAGAAAGAAAGAGAAAAAAAGAAATGAAAAGAACTTATAAAAGGTAGCTAACGACTGACGGGCTCCTGTTGTACCCTTTGCTTATTACTCTTCTCATCACGACCAGCATCCATCCCACTCTCATCGGATACAGCAGGTGATGCCTTCGAGGTATGGTGGGCCTTGGTCCCATTTACCCCGTTCACCTTGCTGGTCGCAGCAGCCGCTCCCTGGACAGTAACACTCACCCGGCGCTCGGCCTCCTCATCCTCCAGCCTCTGCGCTTCTTCGTTCTCCCTCATTAAGGCCTCCTCTTGCTCACGCATTGATCGCTCCTCTTCGGTGAGTGGAGTATCTGTCGGCGGCGGCGGAGGGGGCGGAGGGCTGGGGATCGAGTCTTCGGTTGTCGAGTCCTCCTTGGCTCGCTTCGGTGAAGGTATCGCTTCGGATGCCGGCGCCGGAACCTCTTGCTCTTCCGCACGCTTCCTCTTGCGGTCTGGGCTGGAGGTGGCAGGAGTATTCTCGCCCTCATCCTCCACGTCTGTAAGGACGATATCGCCATCGGCGTCGGGCTGCTGGTTCTTGACGGGGGCATTGCTGGCGCCGTTACGGCCAAGTGGTGACTTGGGTTCCATTGCTGAACCGCCGTTGGTAGGTGATGGGGCGCCGGAAGATGATGGCCCGGCTTTCTGTGCAGCGCGCTGCTCGTTTTCCCTGTGCTTGACCACAGCACGATCAAAGAAGTCCTTAACAAATTTCTTGATCTTCCTTGCCTGGTTGGAGGAAATGGTCGTAGGGTCATCGACACGGTGGTTCTTGTAGTCGGAAGCAACCAGTTTTTTGTTGATCTCACGGCCGAAACGCTTAAGGTCTTCCTTGGGAAGTCTTCGGTGAAACTTGTCCATGACGTATTTCACATGAGGAAAGAGCTGAAAGTACTTTGTTTAGCGTCACCGCAATGAGAGGGGGAGTTGGCTTCCGGGATTGGACATACCGTGTTCTCGTAAATCTTCATCTGTTTCTCAACCGGAAGAGACCTCCACTTCTCCTTCTTACCATTGTCTGGCACAGGTGTGTTGGATTTAGGGGTTTGGTTCGCAGAATGGCGGGGCGTCGGCTCCTTAGTCAAACTGTCGATGATATCCTGCAGAGCCTTCTGGTTTTGTTCCACCTTGGCAGAGGGCTTGGGCACGTCGACAGCAGGCGTTGTAGGCCGCTGCCACTGGGTATGGCCGCTCTTGTCGTAAAAATAGTATTTGCCTGTGCTGTCAGTGGTGACAAACCATCCTGCAGGGAGATTCGTTGGAAGCTTGCGTGGTCTCTGGTTGTTGAAGTAGTTCATGTTCCGTTGGGGAATGTTGCTGCGGGGACCCGTGGGCACAACCATGTTCTCGAACGGATTGACAGGTCTTGAGGGATGCTCCTCATGATTGACGTTACGGCGGTCATCCTCAAACGAATTTGTGGTTACGGGAGCGGAGGGGTCGAGCTTCTTGCGCGGGATGCGATAGGCTGTCTCCAATTTGCTCCATTCCTGAAGCAATCGTTTGGACTGCGACGCGACATCTTCATGGTCGGAATGGGTGAGGGGCTCGACGGCGGCTTCGATGTTGGAATCGGTAATCTTGTTCTTGGTGATGCGGGGGAGTTGGTACAGGATATCGAGAATCTGCAGAACGACATTGGTGTCTTCCTTAAAGGTGTTGAGGGTTGTCTTCAAAATCTGGTATCCGTGCATCTTAACAACCCGATTGCGGACATGGTCATCGTCGGCATTCTGAAGGCGGCCGAGCAGCTTGACGGCAATCCATTTCTCCTTGCACTGCATGAGAGTGGCCATGACCTTGGTGACACCCTCTTCATCGAGGCCACGAGGCTCGAAGCGGTTGATGTACTCTTCATCGTCCTCGGTAGCCTTCTTCTTGCGGGGCTTCTTGACGGTGGCCGCCACCGCCGTGTCCCAGCTGTCTCCGTCTTCGATACCAAGCGCCTCGATGGTGGCAGGAGGCAGTTTGGTTGCACGCTCTGTTTGCGTTTTGCCGCCAATGAAACCGGTGCAGTTTGCTTCACCGCAGTAGCAAGGCTGCGGGTCGGCGCCATAGCGGTCCACGTTGTAGTTGAACACCAGTTCCTCACCCGCCTTGATTGCGCGCCCCGCAAAAATGCCCATGCGCAGCTTGTCACCAACCACCCACTTGTCGACGTAGCAATTAGGATCGCACGAATGGTTGCAGAACCTGCCGAGATTGCCCTTCTTAGTGGCATCAACAAACTCGGATTTGGTTAGTGACATGAAATAGAAGTGCTTGATGCCCTCCTTGTCGTATTTGACCATGCGGCTGCGAAATGTCGGCTCGTTAATGACCTCGCCAATGTACTCGAAAATGAAGTCGTTAACTTGCAAATCCGTGTTTGCCCGGAGGCCGAACCCCTTCTTTTCCGTCTTGATGACCGACACGTCGGCATACTGTTTTCGCTGAAAGCGCTGGTTCTGGCATCCGCTACCACAGTTGCAGTCGCCGTCAACGCACTCCATTTTCGTGGCCCGATTGATACAGTCTGAATCTTCCCCGCACGCATGGTTCATATCACCACCTATACGATGAGCCAGCTGTCAGTATTCGGTTGGGGGGCGCCGGCGGGCGGGCGGGCCGGAGGAGGACATGACGCTAGCGGCAAGGGGAAACTGAAGATATTTTCACTTACGCCATTCTTCCGCACAGTCACAATCCAACGCGTCGTGCTCGGATGCACCCATGTTCTTTGAGCCATAGAGACAGTCATGAATGACCTGGAAATGTGTGCATGCCTCTTCCCTAACGTCGGGGAGATGGTTGAAGAGCACCGGCTCCCTCTTCATGTTCTTCTGAGATGCCTTTCGCGAAGGCTTTTGTGTCGGGACATTTTCGCTGGGAGTTGCTGTGCTCTCACTCGCAGCCTTGTGCTCGTCGGGCGACATGCTTGGGTGTCTCGAGTTTCCGGTCTGGGAGCCGTTTGGCGTAGCCGCATTGCCGGCGTTGCTGGCGCCATCCCGTTTTAGCTTGGAGCCGTTCATCTTGGAGTGTTCCTCCGACTTTGATTCCTTGGACGAATCCGGTGAGCGACGGCCGTCCTCCATGGTGGATGCAGCAGCTGGGGTCGCCCTGCGCGCACCCGAAAAAGGGACTGTGAGTAATGGTTCGGTTGTGTGTCTGTGTGTCGAGGGCACTTGGCGCACGTTTGCCGTACGAAGGTCGCAGTCGAGGAAAAAACTAAGAAGGTGCAGATCGAGAAGGCAACCTAGGGAAAAGGAGACGGTCGGCGGAGTCGGTAGGATTAGGCGCAAAGGTCATGAGAAGGTGAGAGTGGAGCGAGCGACGGGCTGAAAAGAAGGTGACGTCTCGTCTCGGCGGCAGAATGATGCAAGTTGATGTGGCCGAGTACCTGTGTAGTCGGCTAAAGCGTGTGGTGCTTCGCGGTGCTTTCGTTGGAGAGGAAGGGAAGGAAAAGGATGCCGGTCGCTGGTGCCGTTATTCTTCCGTTGCCGTTGCGGTGTTCTTGTCTTGGCTCCTTGATCTTTGCGACAGCATGCTCAACTGCGACTGGACCGCTGGCTGGCGACTCGGATGCTGAGAGGGTTCAGTTGGAGGCGACGAACTGCCACGCCTCAGTTGGGCTGAAGCAATTATTCAGTTGTTGACTGCCGGGAAAATGCGCTGCCAAAGAGAGAATCGATGGGTCGGCGACGACGGTGGACGTAAGAGGGAGCTGTTTGGGGCAGACGACGCGCAGGTCCGAACAAGAGAGGGAGTCGCTGTTTCTCGGCGTGCCAGTTGCAGTCAGAATTCTGAGAGTCTGGGGACGAGCGTAGCAATGGGAATTGTTCGTTCGCGGCGGCTGGCGCTACTGCCAATTGGTATCGGCGCATGGTCAAAGAGATCGCCATTCAAAAGTCCAGTCCACTGGAGTCTTGTGGCAGGCAATCCAGCTGAGGCCGTGCCACCGTGAGCTTGTCCACCTCGCCTGGTTCGTCCGGCACTGTGCCGGTGGTCCTTGGTCTTGCCTGCCGCAGACCTCTACGTTTCGATTTTGGTAGCCTCCGCAGCCCATACGGTCCGGCAGCTGAAAACCAATGGCATTCGGCAGCTGTCATGTCCCTTTGGGTTATGCAGACCCCACCATCAATTGGCGGCGCAATGACATGGAATTCCCATTCGACCAGCAAAAAGTTCATCACTTCATCACATCAATGGACATTGCCGTTGGAAGTGTCGGCGTTGGGCAGCGATTTTTCCAGCTATTCGACAAGGGGGAAGGCTTGTCTTCAGAGTCAATCAAGATTGCGAATGGTTCGAAATTGGGCGGCCTTGGTGTCAAGTGTCTCGTCCACTGTGGACTCGTGATGGAGAGAGAGAATGCCTCGAGCAAAGCGGGAGTCTGGGGATATCCGGATGGGGAAGCTTAGGATCTAGGTTCCGGATATGCTAAACCCAACCCTCCATGTCATTTCACGTCTCAACACCGATGACGTCCGACAACCTATATGAGCCCAAAGGGTCTCCGTCTCAACCTGTGCGGCCATCGCCATCTGTGGAACAACAACCACATATCGTGCCCCCTCTTCCATCGGAATGCGAAACTGCTGCAACTGCGTGGCGCTCTTGATAGACCACTGGTCACTTTCCAAGCTTTAAACATTGCCTTAAGAAAAAGGTACTGCGGCGGAAGTAGTGTCTCTGACGGTTTCTGGCTTCGATATATGCTGTATCTGATCTCATATGTCAGGGACCCGCGCCAGGCTTGTCTTTGTGTGCAACGTCGTTGAACCATGCTCTCCCTCCTTTCCGGAAGGACCTCCCATATAGCGTAGCACGTTGCCTCAGACCAAAAAGACAAAGGAACAAATAAACAAGGAGACATGGAACAGGGCGAAACGCATAAACACCATATGCAACCCGGGCGCAGACAGGGCGCAACATTGACAGCAAAGCGAACACGACGTGATGGGACAGCCAGCCAGCAGCAACCTAATGAGGCTGGTATTTATATAGCTGATGGCCCGGCAAAGCCTGATGGTACTATTGCTGGAAATGTTGCCAAATCCGTCCGCTTGCCCTGCCGTGCTCTTTGCTATGGTTCCTTGGTGTAGCGAAAGTGTGTGCTGTGATGTGCTGGACGTGCTGGACCTTGCTGCTTTGGTGCCCTGCCAGCTCATCTTGCAGCAGCTTTATGTGGAGAAGCGTCCGAGGTCATTGCAAGACATTTAAAGACGCTCGTGGGATTCCATGTTGTGGACCGCCGTCGCTGTTTCTTCCAGAATTCTCATGGAAGCTTCACACATTCCGACGATGGCAACAAACGACGGCGGCGACGACTCTCAAATCACCCTGACCGACATCACATTTCTCACTTGTCATAACCCGGACGATGCGGCTCTTACAAGGACGAACGCTTGACGTGTGCTTCTCAGCTCGTGTGATGGAACATGGCCGCGCAAACACCCTCATTGGCGAATCTTTTCAGCACAGCGTCCAATGGTCGCCGAAGCAAGCCTTCCGACCTCTAGTCAGTGGGGATTCGAACTACCAAGCTCAGAGATCAACGGGCCAATTGAACAAAGTTTTGTTAAGACGTCGCAGCTCAGCTTCAACAGAATTTCTCGTGCGACTTAAGAGCAAGACAAGAACCGGAAGACCGAGCGACCAAGAGGGGAAAAAAAAAGGCTCCGTGTTTCCTCGACTACGACAGGACCGTCAATCTCACCGCCGCGATCATGGCTCAACGACCGACGAGGGGCACGATGAGGGAATGTGAAGAAAGGTGTCGCTGAAAATCTCGCACAGCGACGGGCGGAAGAAAAAGGGCCAGGGGCTGGTTGGACACGTTGACACGAGTTGGGTTGGGTTCACGAATAAAAGGGTCGCGGCCAAATCTCACTCACCACCGCGTCCACCACCATCGACCACCACTACGGCCACCACCATCTCCGTCTGCTGGCCACACTTCCCCAGAGCAGCCACACCCTATCATGGCGGCAGACCAGCAAATGGGGGGTCACATGTGCAGCTGCACGCTGGTCTCGGATGCATATGGCTGTCCATTTATCATCAGGCCAATCTGCAGGCCTGCAGGCGACACGTTATGAAGGCCATCTCGAGCATCCCTTTGGGTGCTAGATGCGTATCGAAGAGAAGATTCGAGCCGATGAGAGGTCAGCAATGGAAAGAGAGAGAAAGGTGATGCTCAACGGTGGCGGTGACGGTGGCTACTACGAGGTTTCCCTTTCTGTCATGGAAATGCTGGGTAACCTGCCCCGGACGTCTATGGAGGGGTGGAGGGGATGGTACTGCCATTTTGAAAGAGCCATGCTGAATCTGGATGGATGAATTGGAGAACACCGGTCAACACAGGTGACGACGCAGCCATTGAAGCATGGCATGGCGAGCATGGGATCGGAGAGAGGTCGAGGGAGGAGTGGTGGTGGTTTGAGTGGGAGTGGTGCATCCATCGTGGGGCCAAGCATCCCTCCAGCCATCATGTATGGCAAGACCCATACCTCTAGCGGGACCCCATGTCCCCCATGTCAACCCTCCCCATCAGAGGCATTCAGGCGAATTGCCCCATCCCCATTGCAGCGCTGCCATGAATGGATGGAATGCGATGCGACTGCGACCGTTGGAGGCTTCCTTTGATACTCGACGGTCGATTCACGGTCGCGACAGCAAGGTCTGACTTTCGGCACCCTCTTCCCAACCGGGAAAACGATACAGTCATTTCGTCGACCATGTGTCTCAGCTTCCCGGCTTTCGGTCGCAGTTCGCAGCAGCAATATTCCTCGGCGGAACCGCGTATGCCGTCTGTCTTTGCGTTGTCGCCGTCATTCCGCTTCCCTCTTTCTCGTTCGTTTCTTTTTCTGTTTTTCTTCCTGCGGCCGGATATTTTTGTTTCGCTACTGGATTCGCTCGTTCTCTTCGGCCCGCGCAGAAACCGCGTTGCGACGATCCAAGACCGAGGTGGATACTGGAATTATTCGTGGTCGGTCACGGATGACCTTTTTTTTTTTTTTTTTTTTTCCTCTTTCTTTTTTTTAAAAAAAAAAATACAACTGCTTGGGCGGTTGTCAAGTCATGTTGTTTCGTCAACATTGGAGGTTTGGGTTGCGACGACGGGAGGGGGAATTCCCGTCAGCCAAGGTCTCTCTGCCCGAGACAGTACTTCCATACTGTACCCTTTTTCTAAAGCGAGAGTTTGCTGGGCGACGGGGTCGCAGCCAGGCCTTTTGAGGTGACCAGGTGGTCAACCTGGATGTTATCGACATGACGGGATATGACGGGCCCATTATTTGTCCATGTCCTCCCCCCATTTATCCAAGTTCTGGTCGAACCAAAGCTGAGGTGAAAAAGTACTCCGAAGTTGCAGTCAACTTTCGATACCTGATACTGACTTTCATCGGCTGAGCAACCCTCAAAGCTGGACTGGACGGCCCTCTCACAACACACGCAAGTCACGCGTCTATCATTCTTGGCCATCAAATACATGGATCGACCCCGGCCCGTCGTCCATTTTCTGCCTTCGGCTAGCTCCCGTCAATACATGCCTGTTGCTGCTAGTGTTGCTGCTGCTTGTCGGGTGTGTATTTCAATCTTTCCTTTTCGCGGCAAACTGCTTGACTTGAGCGAATCCACACCAACAGCAAGACACACACACACACACACACTACACACACACTCACTCACACATGATTATTACCTACATACTTGGCTACATCCATCGATGCCACTGCGATCAAAAGCCAAGGCCTAAGGAGAGTGGCTAGTGGGCCGGCAGCACCCTTTCACCACACGTGCAGTCACTTGATCTGCCTGCTTGCAGCTGCAACCGCAATTTTACGAGACACCCTTGTTTACCTTCCACTTGCAACTCTCCCTCTTTGCGCTCTGCGTTGCGTAACTGGACAACACCAGTGGAAACCAAGACCTGGACAGACAGTTCAGGTTGCGCCAGTCGAGATTTCACCTTGTATCCGCTTATCTAACGGTACTCGCTGCATGAGATTATCTCAGACTAAGGTGCGAGGGTTCAGTACGCGATCTCTCAGAAAAAGAAACAAAAGTCAAATTTGTTACAGAACCGTTGACCTGACAGGCCACCCCTGCAACACACGCCGGCTGGACAAGGAGTGGAAAGCTGGACGGCGAGACCAGCCAGGTGAACAAATCCGGGGTGTTGTTGTTGTTGTTGTTGTTGTCGTTGTTGTTATTCTTGTCGCTGTCGCCGACTTGACCTCAGTCCCCAAGTCCCATCGATCCATCCCGTCCACTGCGCCTGGACAACCGGACCGGGATCATTTCGACAGTGGAGCACTCACTAACACCAACATTGGAAACCGGGACGCCCACCACCCCCGGTGCGACAGTGCAACAGTGGAACATTGACCGAAACAGCAACATCGTCTGCCACTCATCCCCGGCCAACAATAATTACTCGCCCGCCGTCGCCTCCTCGACGGTAGCTAGATCGAAACTCCGCAGGCCAACGAACGGGAAGACGCGCGCTTCCCACTGTACTGCTCGCGTCTCTTTGCCGCCTGCCCTGCTCGATTCCAGGCTACCGTCCTCCACTCATCTCCCGGTCTGGCGAGAGTGTCTTGGACTTGGGGATCCGTTCGCTCGCTTCACCCACCCCCTGGTTTTCGTGACCCCACGGTCATGAACATGATGGATTAACGCCTTCTGGCACTACTAACTGCAATCCGCACCTCATACATATTTCGACTCTGACTATCGTCGACCTTCGTTTCATATCTTGCCTAGTACATTGACCCCTGCCGTCCCCATTCCCGTCCGTCCTTATCCTGGATTCCCTGCAGGCGGCGCGCGCGCAGTTGAGTGGGAGCAAGCAGGTTGTTGTTGCAACAGGGCAAGCACCACTACCTACCTACATACCCACAAGCCTGCCTCCACTATCAAGCAGGAAGCAGCAGTATAACATCAAGCACCACCAGCTCCAAGCAACTTCTCAGCTTGACTGCCGCAAGCACCAATTCTCCCCATTCGTATATGAATGAGGCCGCTTCGCCACTGCGACTCTGCCCCGTCTTCTGCGGTCACGAGCGTCACCCCCGGCCTATTGCCTGCCCGACGAATAGCAAGTCATACTTGGCCCTTGACAAATGACTAGACATCATTCGGCCATTTCTCTTTTTGACCTTCGTTTTTTCCTCCCTCCCGTCGACGGCAGACTCCAGGGACCAAACCTCCAAGATGGAGTCGTCGTTTGATGAGGAAGAAAAGGTATGAACACTTCCATTTTCAAGTTGGCTCCTATTCCCCCGCCCCCGCCTCTCGCTTACCCATGTCTCTTCTCGCGCAGCGCTTCCTCTTAGGGGAAATCATCAAAGTTAGCGTCAATGTGGACGACATGATAGAGTTTATCAAGCAGCATAACATCCATCAACCAGACTGGCACTCGATTCAGATTCCTCGAGGTGAGTTAAGGATTCTTTTATGGCCCAAAATATGCACTGCAGCCTCTAACTTGGAATATGCAGGGAGGACCGTGAATCAATGCATTCAGGCTTATAACTCCATGGTGAGCAGGCCGTCCTTTCAAAAACCGATCTTGTCACCGCAGAAACGGAACTCGGTCGATGACTCGGAGGATCATTATGCAAAGAGGCGGGCAGTTGGCCCTGCCGAGGAAAGACCGCTCTTTTCGCCCATGCGACCATATGGCCATCAACCATTTCCCACCCCAATAGTCCAGCCTGTGAACATCCAGCCACGGCCCAACGGTCTCCCCTCGCCAGGGGTCCCTGCCTCGACCTCAACGTTGAGCGCGGCACCCACCGGTCGCAAACGGGGTCGTCCCAAGAAAGATGAAAGTCGAGCCCGTCAAAACATGCCACAACCCAACCAGCCGATTGCGCCGGCACCTATTGCTCCGTCGCCGAGGACTGTTGTTGCTACGTCTCAGCCACTCAGTCCCCTCAGCGCTGGTTATCATGGTTACAACTCATCGTACCGGTACTCACCGGTCGCGAGTCCCTACGATCCGGTGGCGGCAAGCAAGAGTGGGCAGCATTCGTTGCTCCATCCCGAGAGTGTACCCCGAACTCTCCATATGACGTCCTCCTCATCGGAGATGGGTCACCGGTTGGTAGGTGATCACAGTTCGAGTTGGCCGGGTACTGTACCAGGCAGGGAGCACCAACAGCAGCAGCATCAACAACAGCAGCAGCAACCGCAAACTCCCACGTCTCTTCCCACGCCAATGGAGCCTCCGGTATCATCGCATCACTCTACGTACCCTACTAATCGAAGCCCTCGTTTATTGTCATCGGGATTCGGGGGAGGGGGCGCATCACAACAAGGTCAAATTACCTCTAGAGACACGGCACTCACGGCGTCCGAGCAGGGAAGATCGTCTGTTCAATCGACATCGGTCTGATACCTATTTGTGATTTCAGTACGGTTTCTCCTTTTCCATTCATTCCTCTTTTTGTTTTCCGTCTCTACAGGATTCTATGGACTTTTTTTATTTTAATCCCATGGAACTAAAGAACGGGTTGGACAAGGCAGCCCATCTTCTCAGAATGGAAAGAAGGAGTGCGTCATCTAGTACTTGGAGTTTTGTTAGTTGGGTGCGCGGCCATCTCCACTTTCAGCATCTGCTCGCGGGTTCTTTCATCGCCATCATCGCATCAATGTTTTTGCAGGCTATTCTTCTTTGGATTTGCTTTTGCCCTTTCCTTGTCCCTAACCTTGGTTTCTATCACTCTGTTCGGCGTTCTGGGCATGGAATGGGAATTTAATATGCATGCATGTTTTTTGGCAAATGTCTTTATGCTTCTGCGACTTCATCATGATACCCACGCACACATACAGGCTATGGTCATGTTCTTGAGAAGAGGGGAGGTTGTACAGCTCGTCGAGTCGATGAAGCATAATGGAGCGCCTCAAAGATGGTTGAGCGAACAACGGAACATACGGCGATCCGCAGCGCAATGTAATTTATTCGGTCTGAAGGCTTTGTTGGACTCTATGATATGCTTTTGGCTTGGTGACTTTTTTTTTTTTTTTTTCCCCCACTTGGGGCAGTTCATCAGCCCACTGCATGCAACCCGGACGTGGAAGGTGTTTGCATGACTGACCATCGCACCTTCCACGCCGGCAATCAAACTTCCCACCTTGCATACAGTACCTTCTTATACGGAAGAATCCGGTGATCAAAATCACAGGGGCGGTGGGTTATAATCGAAGGCCCATCGCAACCATCATCTCAACAATTGCAGCACCCCAAAGATGAAGCAAAAACCATAAGGGCTTCTATCACGGGCGGCAGTTGCATCCCTTGTCTGAGCTGATCAGTACAGGTCTTGCTTATTTTTGCGAGCAAAGAGGGAACGCACCTTCCTTTCGACACTGGTGTCTGCTACATTTTCATCACCTGGGGAAGGAAAGGCGCTCACAATCTTGACAAATGAACGAGGACTGATATCCGCTTCGCGAAGGAGCAGCGCTTTCCTCAGGATGACCTTCCCACGTAAGAGGAAGCACCAGAAAGTCGAATGAAGGAACCAATTGCATCTTGTGTCGTTGCCTTCAAGTCCTCCATTGTCCATTACTCCACAACCAGTGCCGGAGATTTCCCCGTCAACTTCAAGTTCAGAGTCATTCCGTCGTCTCTCCTCCCGCCATTCCACACATCCTGACGTACTCAGATCATTGACCTTCTTGTTCTCCCAGATCCTTGGTCTCCTTGGTTTCTTGCTCCTTGCAGCTTGCATCATCTACATTTCCCACCACAACATCGGTTGATTCAGCAAACACGCTATCAAGACGCCTCAAGATGCTCGCCATCGTGCCACTGGTTCCCGGCATGCTCGTGCTGCTTGCTGATGCTCCAGGCGCTGTCGCCCAAGCTCAAAACATCGCCCAGCAGCCGACCGTGTACAAGACTGTCACCGTTCCGGTCGACTTGGCCAATTCTCCCAATGCCCAGGTTGCCGTGACCACCGTCGCCCTTTCAACTGTCACTGTCTTCGGCAGCGAGCCCAACTCTGCGCTTGCAACGATCGTGATCTCACCCGACGCTGAGCAAAGCAGCACTGCAGCAATCTCCAGCAGCGAATCTATCAACGGAGCGGCTGCCAGCAGTGGCCTCACTACTTCGGCTCCTTCTGCATTTCCCTCTCTTACCGCGAACGGAACCTCCTTCGGAAACTTCACCAACACCACATGGCCGCTAGACAATTCCACCTCTGTCACCTTGATCGACCCTACCGGCACAGATGTGGGTGCCCAGGAAAGCAACACTGCTCATGACGGCAAGCCTGTGGACACTGCTGGAAATGCCAAAAGCGCTGCAGTCTCCGAGACTCATGGTCTTGTTGGTGGGTATGTGCTTAGCCAGGTCTCCACTGCACTCTTTCTTCTTTAAGCTACTTTCGTTCCATTACGTGGCTAACAACTGTCGACAGGGTTGTCAGAGGCATTGTTGTTGCTTTCCTCGTTGCTTTGGCCCTTTAATCCCATTCTAAAGCAACTACGGATACAGGAGAACAAACCCTGCTTCCCCTGCTTTCCGGACAGCAAGAGCATCCTCATGACACATGAGGAAAAAGACTGTGGAGGAGCTCGTACGCGACAAGTAATGTTTAAGTTGATGACTCATGATCCATTCAAGGATCTGGTTTTCGAATATTCGGTAGATTAGCAGCACCATCTGCACGAAGAGTCGAGAAAATCTTCATAGGGCCCATATCTGTTATGTCACCAATACATTACTTCCAATCCTATTCAATTTGCAGTGTCTCACACAGTCACGAAAGGATGGGAATAACGCATATCAGGTTGATCTACCGCTGACAGTATCTCTGGACCTACAAGGCGTCCGGGCACTTGGAAATCTCTCACATGATGATAGGATCAATCCCAAGCCATATCTACGGTAAGTTATTTCTCTTCAACCTTTGTTTATTTTTTTGGTTTTTTGTTTAAAAGATAAGATGCCCGATCAATGCTTTCTCAGGTACTCAGTATCGAGCCAGTTGCCCAACCACATGGCCACTTCACTCGCAACAGCCATGGATAGTAGGAGTCTCATGGACTCGTGTGGACTTTTTCACTTCCGGCAATGCGGTCGAGGTCAAAGCCTCCACCTCCAACAAGCTTTGTCACAACCGAACGAAATCCCCATGGTCGTTGGTCGATGCTCTCGAGTTCGGTCCGGGCCGCACCCATGATTTCCCCGTCCTGGACATTTAACCATGACTTGTTCGACAATGAACTGCGTAATGCAGAACAAAGCTACGAGTTCTAATCAACACCTCAATAGTACAGTTTCGCAATCACCTTCTTGGTGTCCAGACCATCCAAGCCTCGTTTCTCAAGGATGGATCTTCGCTGATTCCGATATCTTTTCGGTTTATTCCGTGCTTTATTGTCCAATCGGGAAGGAAAAGAAAGCCTAATCAGTGCACGCATACTCCAGGACTGAGATTCGATATGTAGGTCTCTCCACTTCGTCACGTTTCTGCTGCCCTACAGCTGAACGAAAATCAATCAGCTCATACCACACCAGGACATTTCGTTCGTGAGAAGAACGGGGCCCTTCATTACAAAGATACGTATATTTGGCTGTCCCGACAAAGACCAGTCATTGGCTTGAGTTCCGTCGTTAAACATTATGATCTAGTGATGCGCTCAGTGTTATCATCTGAATCTCCGCATTTCAATATATTGAATTTATGAGCCAAGATAATCTTCCGGCCCATCAATGGCAATGTTACCCGACGAAAAGGTATCAGGGAGTCGTGTACTGAATGCCACAGGGGGAAATAAAAGGCGAGCTCTACGATAACCTGAGAGACAACATTGTCAGCCACTAACATTACCAAGCCAGCCGTGTTCTGACTGCGCGAGACGAGGGCCAAGAGCCGCGTGTATATTGCTCCGGGAACTGAGCACATGTGTCAGTTTGGCTGCTCTTGGACCGGGTGGCATAAAAAGTCACGACCGCTTATGGATTGGTGATGCGAGTGAAGCGGCAAACCGAAAAGCTTCATCATCCTAGCCAGTGGGATGTCTATATTGTTTCCTGGTTCTCGAGGGAACTACAAAGCCGAGAAGCAACGTCATGATGAAACCCACGGGGACAGCCCAGCAGGCGATTCTTCGACGAAGCGCACTTGAGAGAGCTCAAGCATCTCATTCAGCCAGCAGACAGCCGACCAGGCTTGTGTGACCCAATATCTCTTGCCGTTCCTTATGCTGTAAGCTCACTTTATTCAGCACCCTTCTTTGCTATGCTACAACTACCGAAGGTCACAGCAAATGACAAAGTTACTATCAGTCTGGATCACACAGTAGCCGTCACTTATGAACGAGATCTCCTCATACACGCTCGAGATGACTCCCAGCTTTCACATATACCGATCCCTAACGTACCGATTCCTCTCATATTCCCCCTTCATGTATGTAAGTGTGTGTGTGTATGTGTGAGATTGAGGCTTTCGAAATTTTGACCTACTGGTCGGGTATTATACTCTTCTTCTTCTATCCAGTAAACGAAAACAGTTTACCTTCCTTCCCCATCAAGACCAGACTCCCAAAACTCCCTCCCATGAACTCCTGTTGATTGAAACGAAGTAAAAAAAAAAAAAAAAAAAAAAGTCAAATCGTGGAATCGTCCTCCTCTTTCTCTCTTGCCGATCATCAATCAATCAGTGCCCGCTTTGACTCCCCGACGAATTCCTCCTGCTCTCAATACCACTCCCATTCCCATCACTTCCGTGAGGATAAGGATGATTTAAATGTAAAACATCCAATCCCGCCAGAACCGCACTCCTCAACCCCGACAGCAATGGACTCGATGGCCTAGTCTCTGAAGTAGGCGACGAAGCAGCCGAAGAAATAGCTGTTGTCGTCCCCAATCTTTGTGTTGTTGTTCCGGTTTTCTGAAGAAGAAGAGTGTGGTGGTCGTCCTCGTGGTGTTGGTGGTGGTGCAAATCAAAGTAAGAAGGATGATGCCAGTGGTGCGGTTGTTGTTGTCGTTGTTGTCGTTGCTGCTGTTGTTGTTGTCGGGGAGGATGGGTAGGGGGGCAAATGTCGGGTGTGTGGTGTTGGTGAAGCCGCTTGCGACGCTCGAGGTCGGACATCATCATGTGGTAGTAGACTTGGTCTTCCATTGGAAGGTGTTGTTTAGTGTTTTGGTGTTGTAGTGGATTAAGAACTTGGCAAGCTGAGATGGGTGTTAGTGGTTGATCATGATGGGTTTGACGGGAGGTTTGGGTTTTACACATACCTTGAATTGTCTTTTGCTCAGGATTGATTTTGATACCCGTTTGTTCTTTCAACGGCCTTGATGATTGATGCGTGAGGTTGATGCAAATAGAGGTAGATATCGTTTGTCTTGGCAACCGAGTGGAAGCTCTGGTAGGTACCTGACGTAGTGTTGATTGTAGCGTCTATTTTTGTGTTTGTGTCAATTGTGATGGTGTCCATTTGCACAAATGGCCGGTGTAGTTATGTCACTGTATGGATGATGGACAGAAGAGGTAGTTTTTCCATTGCAAACGAAGGGGAGTTATCTTCTCAAATACATCTGCGCTCTCGTGTGTAAACATTGTCAATTCAAGTCATGGCCACCGCCGACGGGCGGCTACGGCCATCGTTCGGTTTAGGCCACACTCACAGGGTCGTTACAGGGAGGAAGCAAATCATCCGAAGAAAGCGTAGCAGTCAGATCGTCAGAAACACAAGATCCGAATGCTTCAAACGGTTCTTTCAGACGACATCAGCAGTTTTTGGTCCATTTGTTGGATGAGCATTCTTTTGCCCCCATATGACGGGCAATAACGGTTGGCTGGACCCTCAAGTTTCCGACTGAGCCCGATGGTCGATGGACCATGAGTAGGTTCGCCAAGAGGTAGCAATCACACTATCATATGGTCCCCCTATGGCACGACCCGGGCACTGCTGGGCAAGGAAAACACACCACCGACTGGCGACTGCCGGCACACCACCACTGTCCGTGTGTCGGTCATCCGCGCTTCCGGCCCTTTCTTCTAGGCGGGTTGGAATTGGAATCGAGATCCAAAATGAATTGAGACTGCGGTCAGACAGCAATGAATGCTTCACAGAAGCGTTTTGACGGCGGTCGCGGAGATGAACTTGTTTCTCACGGAGCGTCGGGAAACATGACCATTGCGATGCCGGACTCCCGACTCGAAGAGGGTAGTCGCAAGTATGTCTATGACGGGAAAGGTCACCATGGTAAGTCGAGATTACACAAGGGGAACCTAAGTGATAGTTGTTGTTATTTTTAACGTCGACTTCCTCCTCAGTCTCTGGGAAAAGGGAAAGAAGCAAAGAGGAGGCAACCGTTGATGAGATGAACCACGGTGAGAAGGAGAGTCCGTGCGCAAGTGGGAGGTCAGTGCGTATCATGATGTTTATCGATAAGGCGACAGGTGCAGATCGTCATCTCCACTCATTTTGTTTTCAGATAGGGTTGCCAAGAAGCGCCAAGACTTGGGGATGGCTTCTCAGACAAACCGAGTCGCGAGATGGATAAGAGTTGCGATCAATCATCCATCATACTATCAGTGTAATCTACACAGGGCTGATATACAAATCTTGTTTTGCCCTGACGTCAAAGTAGTGCCGAGCTAATTTCAACTCAAGCATGCCTGTACTGTACATAATGTATTCATCGACACATAGGTGGGCATTGGCCAATGAATGTCCTCGTTGACCTCGGGGCTACTTTTCGCTAACTTGTCGCTATCAGCACAATCCATGATAAAGCCGAAACAGGATCTTATCTGTTAGTGAGATGTGAGCTTCCAGGTATCTATGCGATATTGCTCATGGGCGAAACTGCATTGGTCTTCGCAACGGGGAAGCTCATGACATAACTTTCAATGGCACAATCAAAAAGACAATATGATAGATAGACTTATGTGTTTGGAAGAAGGCAACAATCAGGTGCTTGAATGAAAGGCAAAGGAACGCGATGACGATAAGATAGACAGCCACTTTTCGGAAGACTTCAGTGATGTTGACAATATGGCGAGAACAATAACTGAAGCCATCAAGATCAGTTCAACTCGTTGATCCAGGCTATCACGGACACGGGGGGAAATGAACCACAGGAACACTGAAAGTGATGTAGACATTGACATGCTAACTTGCTCAAGATTTGAAAACTGTGTTTCCATGCATCAACTTAATGTTCAACGAAAGAAACGAAAACCAAACAATGCGAATATTTTCCAAGTTCTATCTCTACGACGGGCATGGGAAGAACAATACAAAACATTGAACTGATTGTCCAAACAAAAATGCTATGCTGGAATGTTAACAACCTTTTATTTTATCTCACTGTCACAATGTCAAAAAAAAAAACCAAAAATAGAGAAAAAGAT